ATTTAATAGCAACATTCTTGATTTCATCAAACCCAGAGACCTTTCTGTTACATAACTTTTTAATGATATCATTCACTTCGCTGGCTGAGGGGAGCTCTATACTAGCATCTATTTTAGGAGTGTCAAGTCATTCTTTTACACAGTACCTGACATCATAGACGAAGTCAAAGTCACAGGGACTTGCGTTAGGTTTAAATTGAGCTTCAAAGTGCTCAACAAGGACGGAAGCTTTATCCAGATTCGTTAAAGCAAATTTTGTTATTAACACAAATAGGTTTATGCTTGAGTCGTTTAATAAGACCAAAAGTCATTGTTCGGCTCTTTGAAACTAGTCACTTTGTCATCCCAAAGCTCTTTTCGGTGAGTGACAATCTAGTGTTTTGGTCTCAGGTTAAGTGGAAACGCTTTCTAAGTTTGTTGCGCTCTTTGATTTGTTGCCTGATGTGCGTCGGCAGATTATCAGGAAAATGTTTTTCATGGGATTTTTCTAGTGCCTTATAGCCGCTTCTTGATTTTCATAGTGAGTTGGTAAACCGCAACATCAATGTCCTGAGTGGTCCTAAGACTATTGAACTCAGGCGAGTTTTCACCAAGAAACTGATTGAAAAGCTTCCAGTCAGTAATTTTGTGATAATCATTTTCTAAGTTCCTAGTCTTGCCGAGGGTGGCGATGACAAGGCAGTGGTCCAAGTCTAATTCATGCAAAACTTCCAGATAAATAGGAATGGCAGTAGTAGTTAAGAAAACATCCAAGATATCGCCTCTTCCAGGAATATCCGGAAGGTAGGTGAATTCTGTGGCGCATAAAAATACACAGGCTACCTGTTGACTTATTCAAACAAATTCTCTCCGTTGCGGTTTGTTTTCCTACAGAACCATTCAGTGCTCTTCGCGTTTAGATCACCCGCGAGGATGACCTGCTTGTTTAAATCAAGAGCATTATTGAGCATGCTTTCAGTTAACGGGCTCTGCGGCGGATTACAGAGGGTGGTGAAGTAAACACTTCAAAAATAAGGTAAAAGTACCGAAACTGTGACATACTGACCGTACTTTCTGCTCTCACTTATCAGGCAGGATTGTAGCGAATTGTACGTAGATGGCGACCCCCTCCACCTCTGTTACTAAACCATCACAAGGTTACATTTGAAGTTAGCATGCTAAATACGGAACTGGTGTGCAGTGTTCATCAGCATACATGTCAATCTCATGCTTAATTAAAAAGTCAGCAAGTTCGTGAATTTTAGATTGAACGCTACAAGCGTCAATTTAATAGGAGTTTTGATAGGCTTAGTTCTTCCCATTATCAGTATTTATGGGGTTGTTAGTTTCAGGAATGGTTTTTGATAATTGTGGTTTTAGTTCAAAACCTGCATTTTTTATCACGGATATTTTTTCGCTAAATCCATGAAGACATTTTGGGCCTCACTTAAAGTATCTGAATACACGCCCTAGGAGAGGGCCTGAGCAAAGGTTTTGCTTTCAACAACTCTACTAGCGTAGGTGTTTGATTTCTCGATTTTAAGTTTTGGGAACTTCTCACACCCCCTAAAACTGGATGTGTGAGAACCACCGCAGTTCACAAAATATAATGGTTTTTCGTTGTTATTTTTATCTGGACAGTCTTTGATATAATGCTCTTTGCCACATCGAACGCATTTAGGTGTATAACTACACCCAGATTGGGTGTGATTGAGCCTCTGGCAACGGGGGGTCCCTGTCTTCCTAAATACGCTTTGGCTTTAATTTTCATGTCGCATAAATAACGCTCATTATAGATGCGTTTAGAGTCTTCCTTTTTGGGTAGGGTAACTAGAAACAGTGAGAGTTTACTGATTTCTCCGTTGCGTCTCTTGATCATTTGTTTAATGTCTTCTACTTGGTAATTTAAGACTTTCAAGATCAACTTTGATATCATCTAATTCCGTAGTGCTCGTGAGCTCCCTAATTACAACTTTTAAGTTGCGATCTTCGGGTAGGGTATATACGAATGGTGCTCAATCTTTAGGTCTTTTAAAATTTTTACAATTGATCTGTAACACTCAGGATTCTTAGCAAGAACTTTAATTGCACTCAGGATTTGTTCTCCGTGAAATTTGAATTTGTTATGATGAAAGATTTTAGCAATTGCACTCCATTTCATCCTGGTTTCATTTAATGTAACGGGCGGAATCCGTGATTTACTGGTAGTTTGACTTCCGTCTGGTCTGCCGTTGACGTCAGTTGTGTTATGATCATTAACAGGTCGACTAGTGTCCATAATATTGGCAGAGGTATCATTTGCTGTTCAGGTAATTCAACACTCTGGCAGTATTTTCATCTGAAGTTGTTTCCTTAATTCGTGAAATTAAGGGTGTAATTTCTGTCTGATTGCTAAGTTTAGCTTTTTTGCAGTTGCTGTGATATAGTTAGTGCAAACGGTTTGATCTCCATGCCTTTTATTTGTATTCCGAACTAGTATCCTAATCTAGTGGTTTCTCATATTCCGAGTCATTTATTGGTGTTTCATCAAGCTTAATAGGGCTATGATCCCTTTCATTTTCATCCATTGATGTATTAGTTTTTAGAGAATATTTTGCTTAGCATTACTGACCTGTGTGTCAATGGTATTTTGAGTAGTCACAAATTGTAAATTAACAGCCTATAACATGTCAAACATACTTAACAAAAAATTATACATCTTACTTTCCATGTCCGTAAACTGACCATTTCGATTCCAGATAATTTTTAAGTCTTTTATCTAACATCTCACTGCTCCTAAAATCGAGTCCATGTTCGCATAACGTCCAACATCAGAGATTCCAGCGCCCTGGAACCCGTCCACTCGAAGGTGTCTCGGCAGACAGATGGGCAGGCGGAAGATTACTAGGCCCCTGACAGTGTGAGCTTAGGGATAACTAAGCAAACTATGTGACCAAAATCCAAGTTAAAACACACACGAAAATTAAGTCTAAATTAGACAATAATAATATAATACTAAAAGCAATTAATTATAGCACATAATATCACCAAACCAGCAATATAAGCTTAAGCAATCAGGCCTATCGCTCTCAGTAGCACATAATATCACCGAACCAGCAATATAAGCTTAAGCAATCAGGCCTACCGCTCTCAGTAGCCACGTGGTCGGTAAGCAGAACGGGATTTCGAAGGTAACTGCACTGCAAGTAACTATTTATTCGCTGACCGCCTACGGGACGCGTAATCAGAATTGTATCGCATGCCATAAGTTGCTGATGCCTAGTTTAGTCCACGTGTAATGTGAATACAGGCCAGTTTTCTGTAGAAAGTCCTCTGTGCCTAACAAACACATGACGTCATGTGTAAGACATATACCAAAGAATTCATCTGTTTTTCTAAATCTTAACACATTTCTAAAATGAAATTAAATTTCTAAACATTCAAGTTAAAATCATTCAAGTTACATTCAAGTTAAAATTTTATGAAAATTTTTTTGAAAAATAAGAGCCCTCACCAAAAAATACTTTTAACTCGGTTATCAAGTTCCCTTTTTGGTCCTCTGTTTTACAAACCGTATTTAATGATTAAATGCATAATTCATCTGTAATATTTTTATATCCTTTTTTTCATGTTCAACTAAAGATCAGTGTTTATTCCCACTAATAATAAAATAATCATAGTTTGACTAAAATAATTTGATATCTGTTTTATGAATTTAATGACATTGTTTTTATTGCATTAATGTAACTAATTGCAGAATTTGTAACAAGAGAATAACTAACAAATCAAAATAGGAAATTTTTCTTAAAAATTCAAGATTGCTATGCCAAGGACATGAAAATGTCTCACATTGATTAAAATAAAATTCTTTTACACCACCAGTTGTAAAGCATGTTGGGAGCAAGGACTATGCAAGCATCATGGACTATGCACTTAACAGAATGTTAGATATAGCTAGAAATTATTTTTAATTAATTTTGCTTGTTGCTAATACCATATCAAAAGTGCCATGGTGTTTTCTATCAAGGAGATAAAAATGTTTTTGCTTCTAACTACCTTACAAATTAAAAGCTTTTAGAATTGTTTCCTCTTTTACAAAATTAAAATAATTTGTAAAATGAGACATACTTTTTTTATTGCAGAACAATCACTAATGATACTTGGAATGAGAAGATGGAAGAAAATATGCAGCCAAGCCTCTAGTAGTTCTATACATGACTCACAATTTGACTTGAGTACCACTGTTCCTTCCGATGACGAAAGGGGTGTCACCGATTTAGAATGTCTGTCAATAATTTGATATCTGACATAGGCAATGACAGATAGGGTCGATTTTAGCACTGAAGCTGCTGTGACAGACTCCAAAACATCTGCATTAAAGAATAGCAATTCAGCATTCAATGTTTGCATTAAAAAGAGGAAAAATGATGCAACTGATGAAATTCTGGAGTTCATGAAAAGTACTACCTCCGTACTGACGGAAAAAGATGATGATGATGATCCCGACAGAAACTTCCTACTGAGTATGCTACCGGATTTTAAATAATTGAACAAAGAGGCCAAACACAGAGCAAAAATGGGTTTTGTGAGCTTATTGCATGAGTTGGGAAAATAAATGAAATAGCTTATCCATGCTCATCGACTTCATTTTTTATTTGCTACATAATATATTATTCGTAAAGAGAAAATGTCTTTTTATTTTTTATTACACAATATTACTAATATGCAAAAAACATATGAAATAAGCTTAAATAACACACAACATAATATATAAATTTACGTACAAAAAAAATATAAAGGAACCAGAAAAACTAAATAAATTTGTTTTGCCAGAGAACAGCTCCTTCTTCATTAAAATAATGCTTAAATCTTTCTCGAACGGCAGCTGCACATTCGGTGGCATTATTGGCACCTTGTCGACCAACTGATTGTAATTGGCATTCATCTTCCTGCCACATGCCTTCTTGAACAGATCCATATTCAAACATGGAATTTGCATATCCAAATGAGCAGTAGCTCTTCGCAGACTTATCCATTTCATTTCACACGAGAAAATTATACAAGCACCAACATGCAAACACAATTCTATCCTCTTTGTCTGCCTGAATGTTGAGAGTGTTTCGAAGTACTCTCCATCGAGCCATCAAAATTCCAAAAGCATTTTCGACGCACCTCCTTGCCCTTGCCAGACTATAATTGAATATTCTTTTATTCTGAGAAAGGAGTTTCCCTGGAAATGAGCGAAATATATTTGTTTTTAAAGGAAATGTTTCATCCACAATGGAAACAAATGGCAAAACCTTGTTACTTTCAGTAAGCAAAGCTGATTGAGGTAAAAAAATCCGAGTTTTGTAACTTCCGACCTAGTGAAGTATTAGCAAAAACTCCGCCATCACTAATTCGCCCAAAATTTCCACTGTCAACATACAAAAATCTATAATGAGCATCAGATGCAGCCATTAAAACAATGCTGTGGAATCCTTTATAATTTATATAGGATGAGCCTGCATTTGGTGGGGATTGTATAGCAATGTGTTTCCTGTAACTGAAAGGGAAAAAACACTATTGATAAAAAATAGCTCATAAAATTTCATCATTCATGAATCTTTGTGAATATGCAATAAATATATGATAAATAACAATTATTTTATATTAAGAAAATTTCAATGCTGAGGAAAAATTATTTTGCTCATATTTCAAATTTCATTAAAAAATAACACTACATTTTGTCATTTATGGTGTTAAACTAGAATACTAAATATCCTTATTTGTAATGTCATAGATGTAATTATATATTCAACAGCATTTAATTAAATAATGAACTGCAATAGTCAATACTTTATTTCAAAAATAAAAAGTATGCAACTAACCATCAACTACAACACAGTTAAGAAAATTCCACTTATATGAAAAACCATCTGCAACTTCAGTCCAATGGTTTTTTTAATGTATTTCAGGCACACACAATGGGCCTAAAGTCTCACAAATTGCTTCACAGGTCTCATGTATAATTTTGCATACTTATGATTTCCCAATTCTAAAGGAAATATCTGCATATGTTCCACCAGTAGCTTAAAAATGGTACTTTTCCATTTCGCCGGCGCAAATCTCGCCAAGCAGACTTAATTGGCGACAACATACAGTTTACAAATAAAAAATGTTAAAAATGTTAGTTAAAAATTTTTATTTGAGGCTAAACACTTTATATCTTTTTAAAATTTGTAAAAAGAGAATAAATAAAGATAATAAGTTGTAAAATGATAATTTAAGAATATATGCTTCGTGATTAAAAGCGAATCAGGTTCAACATCCTGATCGCTTTTTTTTATCACGACCCCAGTCTCCGAAATGACAAAACCTCTCTCAGTCCTATCTACTTAATTCAAGTGAATCTTAATTTGTGATACAGTTAAATACAAAAATTATTGCAATTCGTACGAATAGTATCGAATATGTAAGCTGCGAGAGGCTTACTTCGTATGCATTCTCATTAGAATTGATGAATTTAACCCTTGATTATGCCTTTTCTATATTTTCGCCTTCGGTTGAGCGGTGTCATTGCATCTTAATTCACTTAATTACCGCGAATGCCTTAGGGCATAAAATTGAACTATCTGGTAGAAATTCTATGCAATTGTAGAAACAATCAATCTGATAAGAAATGGCTGCGAATTGTTTTGAAAATGAGGTATAAAAGGTTACCAGTGAGGATATTATGTTTGCATCAGCTGTACCATTACATTTAACGCCTGCGTCGGCAAAATGGAAAAGTACCCTAAAAACTTCAAAATTATTTTTTTAAAAAAACTCAACATCTAGCAATATCAGCAAGAAATAATACATTTATTCTTAAATAAAATATCTGATAGAACTGGTTTGCCATTATACATATGAAAAAAAGAAAAATTTGAGGTAGTATTTGTTAAACACAAATTTGTTTTAGTAATTTTAGTTCATAAACTGCTTGTTCAAATATTTATGCAAGTCTATTTTCAGAACTTTTACTTATTTACTTTTTTTACTCGAAATGTGTTTTAAATAACTTTTTTCAAAACAAGCGGATTAAAAAAAAAGAATCATAGTCTATATGATAGAAAAGTAAACTCATTTTGCTTTATTTAATAATAGATAATTGCAACTATAATTGGAAAACAACACTTTCCGAAAACAAATATTAGCTGTATCTGGAGAAAGCGGGCCGATCGTTTCTAGCATTATTACGACAGAAAGGAAAGTAAGCTTACTTGTCACGTGTGGCGGGGCGATTTTGGGCACTACATGGATATGGTTTGTGCAATTCTGACGTGTTATTTGTACCTAAGACGCGCCAGACCAAGCCAAATAACAAGTCAAAGAATTGCACAAACTCAGTATCCATGTACACATTGATCTATTTTCACTTTTAAAAAAACACAGAATTGCACAAACTAGGCATTGCGGACTCCCTTGGTTTTATCCATGCACACATCGATCTATTTGCACTTAAAAAATTGAGTGAAAATAGATCGATGTGCACAAATTTCGAAGAATTGCACAAACTTCGCATTGACTACACTCCCTCCATTAAATGGTCCATGTACACATCAATATATTTCCACTTAAAAAGTCAAAGGAGTACCGAGGTAAATTCTAGGTAAAAGTATACTTACGGATCATTCAACTACTCAAGTTACCCAGGCTGTTGGTATGTGTGGTCAAAGTCTCAAAAAACAATTTTAGCTTCTGATCATTAAATACTCATTCATAAGACCATGCTGTTTCCTATATTAATGTATGCTTGGCCTATCTAGAGATATATCTCCATTTTAAATGCAAAGAAACTGCAACAGCTTAAAGATGTTACCATCACAAAATGTTACAAAACGTCCCCAGTATACATGTAATGCAGAAGTTCATAAGGGATTCAGCATTACCACCACTATCGGTTTTATTTTAAAATTTCTAAAATATTATTAGGAAATGAAATAAGTCAAGCATTCCTGCTCTTAATTACAATGCACAGGTAATAAAAAACAGCCAAGAGCCATTCTCGAAAACCTGCATCAAAGCTTTCATAATACTGTGAAATTTCACCTAACTCCAGGTATTTGTAAAGTTAAGCAGCAACTCAAGCAGTTAGTACTTCAGAGTTGATTACCTGACACTGACTAAGGAAGCATTCATCTATATCTTAACCCGATTTACTGCACCTAAATTACTAGCTGAATTTCCATCTCTTTTCAACTCAAGTGTTTTGAAATTATATTCATTTACTTTATTTTTCATAACTTTAATTTTTTTCTAAAAAAATTCAGTTTCCACTTATTTGGTTTCCAAACTACACTGCAACCCAAGACATCAGCTACATCGGCAGCTTTTCCTCAGTAGCTCTGAAGATGTCCATGAGGTACACCACCATTTGTACCTCTACAAGACAGCACATGATTGCAAGATTTATTTTCTGACATGATCTAACCAGATCCTTGAAGTTTCACAATGACAGACCCCTATTTAGCAGAAAGACTGCTGATTTTAAATCTACTGGCAGTGCACATATAATTATTATTTTTAGATTATTTTTAATTATGATATTAAAGTTAGGTCTGTAGATAAATGTCTTCGGTATTAGATAACGATACTGACAACCTAGAGCAGGAGACCTTTGTGCCAGACTGACTTATTCAAGGAAGGCTCTTCTTTTTTTTATCTAAACACATATTACATACCCTATATGGGTTCACAGTAGCTTAATATAGCTTAAGTGGCAAGAAGTTTTTAAATAGAGGTTTAGTAAAAAAAAATATACAGTTAAATTTATGCATTTATTCAAGCTATAATTTACAATGTTAAACTCTTAATAAACAGAAAATTCACTTATAAATAACAAAGCCATGTAAATATACAGAAACAGGAGAGCACTACGTGAAGGGAAATCGTCAAGTAGAAAACTAAGCTTTAAGTGCTGTGTATATATCGACACATCCATGTATGTTTCGATCTTCTTGAATCATTATCGAGGAAAAAACCTCCACCACCCACTGTGAGAGCTTAAATCGCCCACTAGTGAGCGGTATTGATCAGATTGACTATCCCTTGCCTAAACCCACACAACATTTCAGATGTGAACAATGTAAAATATGAAGTTAATCATAACACTCGAGTTTCCGATTTAAATTTGAAAATACACGTCAAATAACACCACAATAAAGGGACTCATAATGTGAGCCTAAATGGAAAAACTCTGCCTCAGCTGTTAATGAATAGATGATATTATTAATTATTTGGTTACATTTTTATAGCTGCTACCGAGTAATTTGTTTTTACAGAAGTTAAAAAGTGATTACCCTAACTACTGAAAATTAACTCTTCTATACTTAAGTACTTCAATAATATGAATTTTTTTAAACTTTTATTGTAACCAAAGATAAAAAGCATAAACAAATAATTGAGGACATATTTTTTGTCATGCTAAGATGGCAGGTTCAAAATTAATTCTCAACTATTCTAACTTAATGGTAAACAAATTAAATACTGTACAAAGTCAGAGATACGGACTCATCCGGACTTCCGTGATTCCAGATTTTAGATCAGCAGTTTAAATCTAGTAAGATGGCATGTAGAAATAATAAAATTTAAAATATAAAATCATGATTTATGAAATAATGAAACTTTTATGATCTAAAGAGTATCAAAATTAAAAAAAAAATACTTATTTGTTTTCTTTATTAAAAATTTGTTTCACGTTATTTCAGCTGCTTCATTTTTTTGATAATACTTTCTCCTTAATTCTCTTTCAACTTTTGCCCATCTGAATTATCTAAAGAAAAAATTCATGTGGAAAACATATTCATCAGTCAACTGGCCAATGCATTACCTGTTTTCAAACTAAAACTTCAGCTGTTCTCAAAGCAGCTTGGCTGTGAAAATTTTGTCACTTTCCCTTACCTACAATTTTCCTAATAAACAACTGGATTATTCAGATCAAATAAAAATACTGGTTTACTTCATTTTAAAAACGATTTACAGATTTTGAAATGCATAACGTTAAATTTAAATTGTTTTGTGATTCATTTTCTGTTGCAGTCGAAGGAAAATGTGCAAATGGAGACCGATTTACAAACTTCTGGCTTATGCAAGCCCAAATTCTGGTATTTAGACTTTCTCGACTTCTATAAAACTCTACTTACCGAATTTTTGTGCTTAAAAAATAATGCAAGCAGATCTGCTACCATGTTTGGTAGTACTTAATGTGAACAAAATTTTCTCTTATGAATCTAAATAAGTCAAAATTAAGAAATAAACTGACAAATCAACACTGGCAATCTGTCTTAAGAATATCAACAACTAGCTTCCAAACAAATATATCAAAAACTGTTGATAAATTCAGACTCAATTATCACACTAATGTATTTAACTATGGCTAACTTGTACACATTTGTATTAAAATATTTATATATTAAATAATCATGCACAAATATAAAATGTATTTTTTTTTTCAAGCTGAATTGAATGTTTTAGCCCCAGTAACACATACAAGGGGGGACAAAACCCCTCCGTCCTTGTTTA